AATAAAACTTGTTGTTGATATTTTGAATGTCCAGCAACTTTTGTTCGATATTTAATCAGACTCTAATTCGTCTTGCTCTGATATTTACATCACAAAGACTGCGATGATCAAGTTTATGAATAAATAATATTTCAGTACTACATAGTTCGATCTCATTCATTGACATTAGTATCTAATTGCTGAGTTTTAGTAGGTCATGATTTTTACATTCATTGCACAACAAGATGTTTACAAATACAAAAATTCTTTTTGTTTTTCTGATAAATTCGAATATCAATCTTAGAATGAATAGTAGAAAACGAAGAATAGTTTAATCAATTCTGTTTGATGTCGATGATAGCGAGAATAAATGTTCTAGAAAGACTCACGAAATTGATTTTTTCTATATATATCCCTGAGAGGCTGGTATCAAATACATATTCGGTAAAACAATCTACGCTGTAAATTTTTTTAAAATTCTGTTTTGTAGAAAATCGACTTCATAATAAGCTAAAGCATTTTCAAAAATATAGAAATTCAGCGCTGAATGCATATGGATATTTCTAGAGTATCCTTCATTAAACTCTATAACTTACTTTCTAGTTTACAATGTAGCTGGTATGCACCTAGTAACTATAACTTCAGAAGACCATAAAAATCGTTTATTTCCAATACTTTGATTCCATTCTGGCAGTTTTAACCATTTATCGATAGACAAAGATTTGAATATCCAAGACATTCTTATAGACTCTGATAGAGAAAAAATTCGGCATTGAACGAACTTGTTCTCGATGAATCTATAATGGATTTTAATGGACATTCAGATCCAAAACTAGATAAAAAATTTTGATGAGTGGCACTCAGTAAGTTCTTTACATCGCCTGAAAGGAAATAGCTATCGACCTCGAGCTTGCGCTGATCGATGGAGGCGAAGTTAACCTATCTGACTACTATATCATAACTAAGAAAACATATTGTATTTATGACAAATTCGGTTCATCTTCAAAACACATGGTAAATAAAAGACGAAAAATTATTGAAATTTCTTATGGATTTTATGAAAGGATAAAGTAGCCTTGATTCTAGATACTGTTAAAATATTAGTTCTTTATCTCTTGTTATTATGGACTTATTCAAAAAACGGCCACGACCATTTAATTCTGAAATAGACAATGATTATTTGTTTGACAAATAAACGATTTTCTATGATAATAAATATTCATCGTTTTAACTCGACGTTAAATAAACCGTTTAATTATTCTAATTCTAGATGAAATATAGGTATTTAATTAATAATAATTTAAAATAGAGATTAACGTGCACTCGCTGTTCAGAAAAATAATTCGATTCGGTTTGGATTCATTTTTTGAGAATCAGTTCGGGTTCGCTTCGATTCATTTTCGATCTCTGATGAGAAATACACATCAAATTACAGTCTATGATTTGTTTATTCGCACTTTTATTGTTATAATTACATTATTCAGAGTGATCTTAGTTTTGTTAAAGTAAAAGCAGTCCACCACAGTAAGCAGGCTCCTTCCGTTCCTCACTATTACATTCTTATTATGATGACAGTCGTAGTGCGAGTACACTATACAGTTGCATATTCATCACTGTCCGAGAAAGAAAAAAACGTTTTTTGAACTGTTGTTTTAAATGCAATAGATTGAATTTCATGAACAATATGAATTACAGCACAAAGAGAAAATTGAGTTTTGAAAAAGATAAAGAAAAACCTATACAAAAAAAATATTTATTATAAATTGGAAAACTAATGATTATTTATTTAGCTCGACAATTAGGTAAATAATTTCGATTCGCTGTGACCACTAAATCATTGCGTAGATACTTGTAATAATTCAATCGGTGCTGATGGCGTTATCTCACTTTTATCACGATGAGTTGTTTGATCCATTGGCAAGTTTGTATAACGATATCGAGATGTCATGTTTAGTAATTCATTTCTTCTTCCTTGAAAATCTTTGACAACATATTTTTTAGCTTCCTGTCTTAACCATAATTTCTTGGTATGACGTTTCATTGTTTCTCGTATAACCATGACACTGAGCATAATACCGACAAATACTCCAATAATTGCAAATATCAACACAATAACTATCACTATTGCATCAGCACCCTTTCCATCACAATTATCATTTTCTTCACAACCATTACAATCTAGACTTATACATATACATGGATAACGAGCACAATCACAATCACATCTATTATCATCATTATTGTTTACCAATCCACAGCAAAGAGCAATGAAACCAAATAATCCTAATAGAGCAAATAGTAATATTAAGCTGTTTAAATAATAAACACCAAATGCACTCATCGAATCTGGATATAAATTTTTAATACCATGACTTTTCTTATCAGCAGCTTATAATATAAATGTCATTCCAATGATGATTGCTTGAATTAATAAAATAATTAATGTTATATCACGAGTAACTAATAAACGAAAGATTTAATAATCTTTTTTTTCAGCCGATGGAACATCACCTACTAATTCAATAATATATTTAAATTGACAAACTTCACAAATTTCGAAACCTAACCCATCTTTATTCATTGATCGCCAATTATCTAAACATTTTCGATGAACATATGGGTGTGGGTGTGGGTGTGAGAAAGAGAAGAACTACCAACACCCACACCCACCCAAAAGAGGTTTCGAATTCGTTGCAAACATCGAAACTCTTTTTAAGTTTCGTAGCGAGTACGAAACCTTTTTTAAAACTACGAAACCCCCCTTGGTTTGGTAATCATAACAATTTTTTTTTCAGTGTGGCGTCCCATAGGGGCACCGAAGAACGACTAGCCGCTGCTCTGTATAATTTTCATTTGTTTTTTCGTTACTTCAACGATTTTTTGGGCAAGAAAATGAAATAGCACGTTGATCTATGCTCATCTCATATAAGAAACCGAGTAACCAGGTATGGGGGCTCGTAGGAACGCCAACGATATCGACTGCGAGCTGTGCTTTACGTTCTTATACGAAAGTCTTAACAGAAAATATAAAGACTGGATCTTCTTATAGAATAGTCGCCACTAACAATCTGTGTATATGTGCACGTGTATCCGGCATAGTTTGCAGAACAGAATCCAGCAAATAGGGAGAGATAATGATTAGATCGAATTCAGTCGACAGTTAAGTGAGTGGTAGCGACGAGCATTACTTGTTACTAAACAATACATTGATGGCTCTTTTTTCAGATAATTACGCATAACGGGTCAGACTTTTCACAACAACAATTGACCATTTTTTTCAATAATTATTATTTATATACGATCATTGGATGTATATAACTGTACGATAAAAGTTTATTTTTACTGATAGAACATAAATTGAAGGAAAAAAAACAAATTATTCATATTTCATGCTATCTTTTTTTTGAAAGTAGTCAATACTGATAAGAAATTCATAGGATGTGTTAACGAGAATATAGAAATGATCGAAGATATTCATACGCTCGTTGACGTCGCTGCATATTCTTCTGATTTTTTGGAACACGAGCCACAGCAGCATATACAAGTCACGATTAGAACTATAACAAAAATACACCAGAACAAAATTACACCTATCGATGAATAATCAGAGCGTCTTGTTATATCCGTATTCGATCCATGTTCCCATGTCTTTTTCTGCTGCTCGATCACTCGATTTAATATTTCTTCAAGTTGTTTTCTAAAATGTAAACGTTTAACAATGTTCTCGATAAGATCGAATAAAATTGTAGTTTGCTCCCAGGCATAAATGAAGTTTGATTTTGTGTTGCATCTGTCTGATGTGCAAGAGTAAAAAATTTTCTCGTATTCCGTCGATTGAAACTCGATACTTCGAATTTTCATGTACAATATATTGGTGAGTATGGAGTCATTAGCTATGCAACCTGTGCTGATCGTGACATTACTGGAAATCGCATCATAATCGGCGACGCACACACCATTTGAACATTCAGCAAGTTTACCTGCTTCATCACATTTTTCTAACTGAATACTCGTTGGCAAAAGATAAATGAGTTTGTCTTGTAAAGTTTCATGCTCAATATTTACCAACAGATGAATGAAATCGTTGATGAAGCTTTGATCGCACAAGTTTTTCCATGAACATGCATAGTCAACATAACTAATGACAGAATCGTTCTCTTTAACCAATGGAAACTGTGTTTCAATGCTGAAATAGTTACTTGTATGATTGGTAACCTCGCCAAATTCAATGGTTATACTACCATTTATCGGATCATAATCAATGTGTATTGCAACGTGGCATATGCTGCTTCGTATATATGGATACGTTGCTCTGTTACTAAGTTTCTTTAATGTAAATGAACCATTGGTTGAAATAAATTCGTTCCGTGAAATTG